CTATAACCCATTGATCATTCAGTAACCTATTGTTCATTCTCCAAGTGATGTATTCTTTTCCCTTCCTTCTTTTATCATTGATTTTCAGTTCCATTCCATTATGATCAGATAGGATGCATGGTATTATCTCTACTCCTTTATATTGTCTAAGAGTTTCCCTGTGACATAATATATGATCTATTTTTGAGAAGGATCCATGTGCTGCTGAGAAAAAAGTGTAACTGCTTGATGTTGGGTGGTATATTCTATATATGTCAATTAAGTCTAGGTTATTAATTGTGTTATTGAGTTCTATAGTTTCCTTATTCAACTTTTGTTTGGAAGATCTGTCCAGTGGTGATAGAGGTGTGTTGAAGTCTCCCATGATTATTGTATGGTGGTCTATTAGACTCTTGAACTTGAGAAGAGTTTGTTTGATGAACATAGCTGCACCATTGTTTGGGGCATATATATTTATGATTGTTATGTCTTGTTGGTGTATGGTTCCCTTAAGCAGTATGTAGTGTCCCTCTTTATCCCTTTTGATTAACTTGGGCTTGAAATCTATTTTATTTGATATGAGTATGGATACTCCTGCTTGTTTCCGAAGTCCATATGAGTGATATGATTTTTCCCAACCTTTCACCTTCAGCCTATGTATGTCTTTTCCTATCAAATGCGTCTCCTGTAGGCAGCATATTGTTGGGTCTTGTTTTGTGATCCATTCTACTAGCCTGTGTCTCTTAATTGGTGAGTTTAAGCCATTAACATTTAGGGTTATTATTGAGATATGGGTTGTTCTTCCAGCCATATTTGTTTATTTCTGTTACTAAACATGGTTTGTTTTCCTCTTTGATTATTTTCCCCCCCTTTACTGTCCTACCTCCCACTGTTGGTTTTCATTGTTATTTTCCATTTCCTCTTCCTGTAATGCTTTGGCGAGGATGTTTTGAAGAGATGGTTTTCTAGCTGCAAATTCTTTTAACTTTTGTTTATCGTGGAAGGTTTTAATTTCATCTTCCATCCTGAAGCTTAATTTCGCTGGAAACACAATTCTTGGTTGGAACCCATTTTCTTTCAGTGTTTGAAATATGTTATTCCAGGATCTTCTAGCTTTCAGAGTCTGTGTTGAAAGATCAGCTGTTATCCTGATTGGCTTACCCCTAAATGTGATCTGCTTCCTTTCTCTTGTAGCTTTTAAAATTCTCTCCTTATTCTGTATGTTGGGCATCTTCATTATAATGTGTCTAGGTGTGGGTCTCTTATGATTTTGCACATTCGGCGTCCTGTAGGCTTCTAGGATTTGGGGTTCTGTCTCATTCTTCAAGTCTGGGAAGTTTTCTCGTATTATTTCATTGAATAGATTGCTCATTCCTTTGGTTTGAAACTCTGTCCCTTCCTGTATCCCAATGACTCTTAAATTTGGTCTCTTGATGTTATCCCATATTTCTTGGATGTTCTGCTCATGGTTTCTTAACAGTCTTGCTGAGCTGTCTATGTTCTTTTCAAGTTGAAATACTTTATCTTCATTGTCTGATGTTCTGTCTTCTAAGTGTTCTACTCTGCTGGTAGTATTCTCAATTGAGTTTTTAAGTTGGCTTATTGCTTCCTGCATTTCTAGGATTTCTGTTTGTTTGTTTTTTATAACCTCTATTTCCCTGTATAGTTGATCTTTTGCTTCTTGCTGCCTAAACTTTTAAAGACTGGTTATGGTCACAGTTGAGATCAACTAGATGTGGCACAGTGATCCCTGGAGGTGACCAGTGAGGACTAAAGGAATTTGACTAACAGTTGAAGGGCTGCTCTGCATGTATGCCTACCATGCTTCCTAGAGGGTAATTTTGAGAGTTTAACATAGGAAATGTACATTTTTAATGGGCCCAGGCAGTTTCTGTGGCAGAATCAGGGGTCAGAGTTAAGCTTTTTGCAAGGGCCAAACCCAGATACAAGTGTGGGATAACCACTTACAACATTCCAGCTATGAGAGCAGAGACCAGCTCCTAGAGGGAACCACTAGGGCTGGCTGTTGCCTACCTGACCTTACCACCTGAAAGACAAAGGGATGGCTCCCCTGGTGTCCAGTCAATTTTTATTTTCATTCATTTAACAATCATTTAGTGAAGGTTTCCTCAATGTGGGGCATATTTCTAGTTACAGTTCTAGGATGTAGACCTGATTCTTTCCTGGTGGACTCTTGTGGCTACAGGGCAGTGGTAGAAAGCAGAACAATAATTTGCCACTATAGTTATAGTCTGTAACCTGACTCAGCATAGACAGGTGGGTGGAGACATTGGGGTTTGGAGGGCATGTGGAGGGGGAACCTGGAAGCAACGGGGTCAGCTTCCTGAAAGAAAAGATGCTTAAGCTGGGGCTGCAGCAGGAATGGAGAGGTAGCCAGTGATAGGGGATTGAAGTGAGTTCCAAGGTAGGGAGAACACTGGGCAGGAAGGAGCATGAGACTTGGAGAGAATTCATGGAAGACCAACCTGGCCAAGCCAGTGAGCATGAAAGGATGCCCCAGATAGCCACATCTGGTCAGCTGCCTTCAAGTAAAATTGGGGATGTTGGTCTAAGAACCATCGGAGAATTGTTAAATTAGACTTTTTAAAGGCAAGTTTTTGTTTCATATTTATTTGCCTTGGGCATGGTCCCACAGACCATGCGAGTTGTGCTTCTGGGCATAATCATATAGCAAAAATATTAATTAGTCGAGAAAATAAGAAAAAGCAAAGAAGTCAGTTTTTGTGAGGCCTAGTTCAGCAAAGTGCCTGCTGCAGCCATGGGATCATGGGGAAACTGAGTGTGTCAGTGTCAGCATTGGAGTAGTTATCAGCAGGTGCTGTGCTGGCCCAGGGGCAGGGTGCAGCTGGAGCTTTGTGTTGGCAAGGAGAAAGGGGCCTTGTGACTGAGCCCACCCAGCACCTCCCTGACAGCATGGATAGCTGGGCAAAATAGTATCAACCCCTGCCCCAGGAAACTGACCAAACTTTAATTGCAGGTGGCTCCATGCCATGAGCATCCATGACCCCTCAATCCCAGTAGAACTTTCTAGCTCATTAACTATTAAGCCCATACTGGCCCACCCAGTATGGCAGTTTGCAGGCTTTCTGTTTCTGCCCATCTGGACTCCGCTGCACCTCTGTAAGGTCTAGCTTCCCTGGGTCTACCTTTCTGTACTTCCAGAATCCACAGGATCCTGGAATTCCTCGTCTACAGATGTGACAACCTGTTGCCTAATGACCTGTCCCCAAATGACTCTCCCACTAGCCTTCCTACTTCCCTGGCTGGCTGTTCTCTGTTCCCCACCTGTGCTAGCCTCCCAATCCTCACTGTGACTCTCAGGTGGGTTTTTCTGGTTGGTTTCCTTGGGGTCTATGTGCCTCACCCCCACTTGAACAAGCTGTTTTGGATCTGGGTTAGTTATAAATAGCCAGGCCCACCACTCTCCTTTTAGCTGAAAAGCAAAGTGAACGAGCAGAAAGGCACACCCGGCATGCGTTTTATTTTTAATCTCCCTCTGTCTCAAAATGAACCTAGGTCCCAGTGCTGAGTATTTCTAGGAGCAGTGGCCCAAAACAGATGCTTGAGTAACAAAACCCAAAGAGCCAAGGGCCCTGGCTTTGTCCCCATCTACTGTTTCCCCTCTGGGCCTCAGTTTCCTTGCCAAGGAAGAGAGGTGCCATGGAAGTGATCACCTCCAATGTTCTGATTTTCTGACCTCATTTCTCTCCTTCTGTCCTTTCCCAAGTGTGTGTCCATCCCAAGTTGGACTGGACAGCACTTTCTTTCAGTTCAGCAACACCTGTCACTGGGTTTTCTCAGGAAGCTTAGAACCAAATGTGAGTGAGGCCATGACCAAGCCCCAATTAGACAGTTCCCAACTTCCATTGGTATTATATAACATCCTGCCAAGTGGGCTTATTTCAATGCTGAGTAAACCAGGCTCAGAGAGGTTGGATTATGTGTCTAAGACTACACATCTGGGAAAGGATACATTTAGGAGCTAAACCTAGGCTTCTTTGGAAATCTGTGGATATTAAATTTTAAAAAGGAAAGTCTAACATACTTGAAGTAACAGATAACTGATTTCCCTGTGCCCTGAGTGCCCTAAGAAGAAGTGGGGCAGAGCTAGCTGCTCCACCCAGACACCCAAGTGAGAAGCTGGTCAAGGGTACTGGGAGCTGCTGGACAGCAGGGAACGTGCAGAGGAGACAGTAAGAGCTTCTAAATATGCTTGTCTTTCTACTTGCCCTTACCTGGGGCATCTGCCATTTGATGTCCTTAGGGAGTGAGACAAGAAGACTGGGATGATGTCTTCAAAGAGGAAATCCCTGGTGCTAATTGGTACTCAGAGACCTTTTGGCTAATTGACCTGTTTATTTGTCTCTCTAGAGTAAATTAGAAGGTTTAACTAGGGAGGGCAGAAGAAAGAGGTGTTTGCTGGTGGCCACCTCCCTAGGGACTATAGACAGTTTCTCAGTGGGTAGCATGGCTGCTGGGGAGGATGGGGAGAGGGCCAGATACAAGGCAGTAGTGATGGGTGGTTTGAGTGCATGGGGAAGTGCTCGCCTTTGCTCTTTCCACATCTCAAGGACTTGAGAGGGCTGCTTTGAGAGCCTGGGCCCCTTGGGATACTGTTGGTGCTGGGGTTCTGTGTTCTATTCCAGATAGCTACAGGTGGAAATATCCTTGCCCAGGAGGGAAGGAGAGCTGGAAGGAGTGAGGTGGGGCCCATTTGAGGGGGAGTCTTTGCTCTCCCAGGGATAACTGCTACCTCTCAGGCTTCTGTGTACTTGTTTATGTCTGATGTTCCTGAGGCCCAAGTGACCAAAAGGCTAGCACCTTTTGTGACCTCTGGGACCTTATCTCAGCCTCACCCCAGCTTCTGCCATGGCTGCACCCTCAGCCTCCTAATGGCTACTCAAGCTCCATGCCAGGTCCTTCTATCAAAGCTTCCACTCTACCTGTGCAAGCCAGTCTGCACGGGAGGCTGTCCCCCAGTATCCTTTTCTGTTCTGCAGGGGCCCGTGGCATTGTCGATAACGGCTTGATCTCCCCACTGGTATTGAAGCTGCAGAGGGAGGAGGAGAAAATCCAGGAGCTCATCTTGGACACGCTGGCCTCCTGCCTGCAGGAGGATGCCACTGAGGCTCTGAGCAGCTGTGCTGTGCCTTTCTTCAAGCAGAAACTTCTCAGTTCCAACAAAAACATCCGCAGCAAGGCTGCTCAAGCACTCATGGCCATCAGGTGAGGCCCAGCCAGGTCACACAGAGTGGCTATGCCCTTGGGCTTCTGCTGAGGCCCAGAGACAACTGAGCTGCTGTTGGCCCAGAAGCAGGCCAGAAGTGGGGCTTCACCCAACAAGGTCTCTCCCAGAACCCAAGGGTATCCACCCTGGGCCTACCTCTCCTGGCCTGCTTGTGCCCTGGGGGGAGGAGGGAGCTGGGTTGGAAGAGGACCTTATCTACTATGGTGATCACTGTCCTATTGGCCTCAGAATGTCCTGTATCCCAGGAAACTCTTTCTTACCCCCATATCAGACAAAAACAGCCAATTGCTCACCCATACTCATGAGGAAGGCAAGCAGGAGTCTCCCCTGCCATAACAATGATAGCCAGTGGTCACTAAGTGCTTATGACACCAGGAATTGTCTATAAATTACACATCTAGATAATTCTCCAAGGAAGGGAATGTCTTCCATTATAGGTAAGGAAACTGGAGCACAAGATCTAGTCACTTGCTCAAAGTCACATAGGATTATGGTCTAAATCCTGCCTGGAAACTGAGGTAGCAGGCTTCTTGTCCCCAGGATCACCCTGGGAGGCTTGGGCAGATTTCCAGGCCCAGGCTCAGGCTCATTATCCTTCTGGTTTTTGTCCAGAAGTCACCTTTTAGCAAGGCTTTCTACTTTATTAAAGTGTGGCCTTCCTCCAGCCCTCCTGGCTTCTCCCACCCAGCCTATGTTCACTATCACCCCTTCCATTTTGTTGTCATCCATTTGGGGAGTTCTGTGAGGACAGGGCATTGCTCTGTTTGCTGCTCTAGAACAAGGGTTAGATTACCTGGTCCCCAAATGTCAACAATGCTCAGGCAGAGAAACCCAGGTCTTATTGTGGTGTTTGAACCAGTGCCCACTGTGTGCCGGGTGCCCATATAGTACTTGCTGCATGAATGAATTCGGGGAATCCCTGAAGGTGAGCCTAAGCCTCTGTATCCTTGATCAAGTATCTAAGAGTTAAGACCCATTGCCCAGAAAGCCCAACAGTCTCACAAACTCACAGCCAAATGGCTGCCAAACCCATTTTCCAAACTGTGTTTCCATGGAAAACCTATGTCTTTGGGGTGTTATTAAGAGTTCTACAAAGCCAGATGCAGTGGCACATGCCAGTAATTCTGGCTACTGGTGAGCTGAGGCAGGAGGATTACAAGTTCTAGGCCAACCTCAGCAACTTAGCAAGGTCATGTCTCAAAATTAAAAATAATAAACAAAAAGGGCTAGGGATGTAACTCAGTGTTAGAGTGCCCCTGGGCTCATTCCCCTGTTGTGGGGGTGGGGAAGAATTCTACAAAAATGAGGGTTCTTGGGTGGTAAAGTTTGAGAAATTTTAAATGAATTATAACAGGGTCCTTGCTGCAAGATGCATGTGCACCGAGATGTTCCTGTGGGGACTAATAGGCAGTATTTCCTGGTTCAGGGAGCCCTTCTTTTTTGGGGGTGAAGTGTTGGCCCTCTTACAGTTTGGAAAACTCTTGGGGAGTACACCATCCTATTTTCACAGCTTCACACAATGCCAGAATGAGAAGTGGCCTAAAAGTCACCTTATCTGAGTCTCCACCTGCTGTTGCCCATGGCTGGGCAGCTTACTGCTGTTTGGGGTAGCTTGGCCCTCCATTGATAGCTAACTCTTTAAGTAGAGTCGATGGGTCTCACTGTGGTTCACACCCCTGGGTCCTGCTCCTCTGCATTTTGGGGCCAAGGAGAAAATGTCTTGTTTCTTCTTTTGAATGATGGCTTAGGGTAAGGTGACATTGCCCCCTGGCCCTTGGTCTCACCTTCACTGGCAGCAGGCAGTGCTTATACCAGTATTGCTACATACCCTGGCCATGGGCAGTCCTGGGCCTTCAGGGATAGTCCCAATACAAGTTATTTCCTCTTGTGTCCCCCTGGGGAAGTCTTGGGTCTTACTCCAGTCCTCCCCATCAACTAGAACCCCTAGCTATCTCCTTTATGCTCCAGCATCCCTCTGGAGGGCAAGAACCAGGTGTGTAGACATGATGTCATCCCTATCCTGGTGCAGCTACTGAAAGATGAGGAGGAAGAGGTACAGGCCAATGCTGCTGGGGCTCTGATATATGCCACCGTGACCACTGAAGGTAAGGCAAGGATGTCCACCCCAGGATCCTTCAGGTTGGGTGGGTCTAGGCAAGAGGGAAGAGGGAGCCCTCCCACGCAGCCTGCCAGCAGCCACTTTGAGCTTTCCAAACTCATCTTTCTCATACTCAAGAGCTGAGTATTACTCCCCCAACCATCCACACTGGTCACTCACATTAGGACCTTTGTCCCTTCATACCACTCTTCCCTGGGCCTGGAATTACTGCATACACTCAGGTCCCTTTGTGAGCTATGATTCTTATATTGATTAGATTGCTATCCATGAATTCTGTTTTCCTGTGGTCTAAGCAAACCCTGGAACCCTTGAGTCTAAGGTGTTTCTTGATCATAATTGATTTTCTCAAATTTGTGGAAGGGCAAATAAGACTACAGTATTATCTTCTCCCATACCCTCAGCCCAGGACTCCCAGATAGTCAGACTTTCATGCTGTCACCCAACTCTGAGCTAAGAGAAGAGACCTGAGCTGATCTCTATAACTGATGGGCTGGGATCTGATTTTTCCTTCCCACACTTGAGAACCTCTGAAAGCTGTCTGATCTTCCCTCTTGGCCGACACTCATCTGTACCAGCCCTGTGCCCCATGCTTCCTTTGCATCCAACAGAGTATTCACTGAACCTTGGATTCATGATCAATATACTGCAAAGTCTCCCTCAAACACATTCTCCCAGAAACTCCCACAGGACCTAATAGTAGAATTTGAGACACAAAGAGGAGGTGAGATTGGGGCCTTCTCAGAGGTCACAGCCCTGCTTTCCATTGTGTAGTTAGGATGCTGACTACATAGGAGGGTAGGGGTGCCCTCTGTGCATTCATCTTGGGGAATCTCAGCTCAGGCTTCCTGTGGGGGCACTTGGAGGGCCAGGGGCCTCATAGGAGCTCAGGCAATGGCCAGAGACACAGAGTCCAGAAGCCAGGCATGTAAGGATAACTGATCCCCAGAAGGCATTTTGGTGGGTAGTCTCTGAGTCCCAGTCATGTGATGGGCACTGAACTGGACAATGGTAACCCATAGTTCTCTGCCTCTGGGGTCTATAGTTGGCAGGAGAGGCAGAATGATAAGTGATGTGGAGAAGTGTTAGCATTCCAGAGGGCCAGACATCCCTTGAGAGGGGCTTGGGAATCAACCCAAAGGACAGAGTTAGCAGGATAGAGACGGAGACTCCCCTCATCCCTCTACATACCCATCTTGCAGCAAAGGAGTTTGCTGACTGTGTGTTAAGGAGAGTATCTTCTGTACATATAATGTCTGAGGGCAAGAAAAATATGGATTGTTTTGTTGTTTTTCTTCTCTTCTCGTTTGTTCCCTTTCCCCTTTCCTCTCCTCTTCTCTCCAAACCTCTCCTCTCCTCTCCTCCCCACCTTTCTCTCTCTCTCTCTCTCTCTCTCTCTCTCTCTCTCTCTCTCTCGTAGAGCTGAAGATAGAATCCAGGGCCTTGCATCTCTTAGGCAAGTGCTCTACCACTGAACTAGGACCCCAGCCCTCCTATGAGTGTTTTTGTGCCAGGTGTTGAATAGTTGCTTAAGAAATTTTTGCCATATGAATGATTAGCTTTATATTTTAAAAGACAATTTGTTTTGTCTTAATAGACTGATTGTAGTGTAAGAAAGAGAATGATGGAGAGAAGCCAGTTAGGAGTCTGGAAGAGCAGGGTTGAGGGGGTCTAGGCTGAACTCCACAAGAGTGTAAAAGAGATGAGGAGAAAGGAGGGTGATATAGGGTGATGCCTCCCCTTGAAACAGCACAGGCAGGAGGGCAGGGGGAGGAAGGCCTCCTCAGAATGACTGGTTAAGAAAGCTGGTGTTGGTGGTCTACAGGGAAGTATGCAGCCCTGGATTCAGAAGCCATCCAGCCACTCCTGAAGCTTCTGTTCTCACCTCTGATCAAAGTGCGCCTGAATGCCACCAAGGCCCTCACCATACTGGCTGAGGCCCCTGAGGGTCGCAAGCTCCTGCAGGGCCACGTGTTCAACTTCCGTAATCTCAAGATGGATCAAAATGAGGCTGTAAGGAGGGCAGCCCACATTGCTATCAAAGTGATCGAATGGAAACCCTGAGCCCCTCACTGGCCCAGATCCAATAAGCTACCTGTGTGCCTGAATAAATGGGCAGAATCTTTATCTCAGGTCTCAGTGGTACTTTATATTCCTGGAGCATTGTCACATCTTTCTTTCTGCCAAAGGATAAATACCAGGCCCAGAGATACTGGGTACTGATTGGCACAGACCCAACCTAGGGCAAGGAATGAGTAGGAGGTGACCTTGGGAGCTTTGCTTTCTCTAGAGCCCAGACTGCCCTTAGCAGGTAAAAAGTATGGCTGAGTCCTCTAGGACAGGATGGTAGGTAGGGAGTTGGGATGGGGGTTGGAAGGAACACTACTGGACCAGGCACTAACCAAGCTTTGTACACCATAGTGCTCAGGCCCGTGGAGTGCATGTGGGTGTGGTTCTGCTGAGCAGTCTCCTCAGTGCCCTGTCCAGCCACTTCTGTCCCTTTCCCACAAAGCATGGCAGGAAGCAAGATGATGATCTGATGCAGAGTCTCCCCAGGGGAGGATGACTAGGTCATAAGAGGATCCACCAGGGTTGAGCGCACAGGACAGGGATTGATTCTAGTTTTTTCCTTAAGATTTTCCCCTTAAAACAGCTTCATTGTTCTCCAAAGCAAGGAATTCACCAGGTCACACTCCCTTCTGGGCTGGCCGGAAGCCCCCTGCACCTCCCTCTTCCTTCTTAAGCTTTCCTGGCTGCAGAGCAGCTCTGCATTGAGATTGCCTCCCGCCTGTGCCTTCATTCATCTTCTCCCCCTGTAATGAGATCAGCTAGAGAGGCTGGGAGCTCAAGGAAGGGGAGAAGCTGGGCTGAAGAGTGGGGTAGTTCTGAGGCATGTGGATAAGGTCAGAGGAATGGTCAAGAGAGCTCTTTTGTTTCTCCCTACCCAGCCCTGCCTGGTTTGGCCATGCCACAGCTCCTCTGGTTTTGGGGGACAAGCAGTGATTCCAACCTCAGTTGAAGGACCACAAGAATTAAGCCTTAGGGCTGTGCCTTTACAGTAAAGCCTTAATCTTTACCCAGAATTTTTTGAGGTTCCCTCCTCACCAACCAGGAATCTATTCAGGGAGATGTTCTCAGGATAAAAATTATCAGCAAAACCAGAATCCCAAGTGAACCTGTTCTTGCAATCTTTTCAGTGAGCCCCAGGGACCCTCACTTTTCTCGAAGAAACACAGAGAAGTTTGTGTCCTTGGACTTAAAGGATTATCCCAAGTAGACCTTATTATGAAAGGGACTGGCTATTGGCTCAAGCTGAGGTTTCAGATTCAATCCCATTCTCAAGAAAAGACCTATTAGAGGAACTCTTTTTTTCCCCCCAGTCAAGGAAGCAGATACTTGCTCCAGGGACTCCAATGCCTCATGTCCCAGTCCTGTGTCTACCCATAGCAAATTGGCTTCACCTTTCTACAGGCTCTGGCTAAGGTCACCAATTCCCTGTCACCAAGACTCTGATTTTGTTCTCTGATATGGAAGCCTCTTTGTGTGTGGGTAGTATGCTGGGGATTGAGCCCAGGGGTGCTCTTACCATTGAGATACATTCCCAGAACTTTTAATTTTGAAACTGGGTCTCATGAAGTTGCCCAGGCTGGCCTCAAACTTGTGATACTTCTTCCTCAGCCTCCTGAGTTGCTGGGGGGAACCATCTTTTGTTACTTCACCAGTGGTATTGGTATTTCTCACAGTTCTGTTCTAGGCCCTCTCATCTCCCATTTTTTCCTGCACAATCTTATCTGCCTGGCAGTGAGCCTCCTTACCTCCTGTCTTAGCTGGGCTTGCCCTCTACCCTTTTTCTCCCAATTCTGGGTTTCTAGCACCAGTCTTCTCTTCTGAGTTTTGATTCCTTATACATAACTGAACATCTATCCCTAAATGTCTCCAGGCAAGAATTAATACCTGCCTTAACAAATTATTTCAAAACATGGGGAAGGGGACATTTTCCAAATCATTCTAAGAACAGTATCCTGATACCTAAATGAGACAAAGAAATCACAAGCAAATAATAGAGCAATATTTTTTTATGAATATAGACAAAAAACTCAACAAATATTCATATGACAAATCCAGAAATGTATAAAAAGCATTATATACCAGGACCAACTGAGATTTAGATGTCCCAGAATGCATGATTGATTTATGTGTAAATCACTTAATGTAATTCTGTAGCTGAAAGAAACAATTATATATAGCTATTTCTTTAGACGGAAGAAAGGGCAAAAGTCAGAAAAATCACTCTACAAAATCCAACACCCATTTATGAGTAAAAACAAAAATAAGCTGGGTACAGTGACACATGCCTGTAATCCTGGTGACACGGGAGAATGAGGTATGAGCATTGCAAGTTTGAGGCCAACCTTAACAATTTTGCAATGCCCTAAGCCACTCAGCAAGACCCTATCTTAAACAATAAAAAGGACTGGGAATGTGACTTAGTACCCCTGGGTTCAATCCCCAGTACCAATAAATTTAAATAAGCAAACCCAAACAAGACTCTCAGCAAACTAGGGATAAAGGGGAACTTCCTCAATGTGACAAAGAACATCTGCAAAAACTCATAACTGATATTGTATTCAGTGGTAGAAAAATTGACTGCTTACTCTGAGATCAGAAACAAGACAAGGATGTTTTATCTTACCACTTCTATTCAACATTGTCCTGCATCTTCTAGTTAGGTCAATTGTACAAGGAAAGAGATAAGGGGCATCCAGATTGGGGGGAAAAAGGCAAACTGTTTTCATTCACAGATTACATGATTTTATGTAAGAAAACTCATATGCTTAAACACTGTTAGAACTAATAAACAAGTACAGCAGTGTTGCAGGATGCAAAAATCAATATACAAAACTAATTATATTTCTAAACACTAACAATGAACCATCCAAAAGTGAAGTTAAGACAATTTCACTTGCAAGAGCACCAAAAAAGAAAAAGCTAATTAGGAAAAAAATGAGAAAAGAAGTAAAGTAAGTGCAAGACTTGTGCACTGAAAACAAAACACTGGTTAAACATTAAAGAACTACATAAATGGAAAGACATCCCATATTCATGGATGAGATGACTGAGTGCTTTCAAAATGTCAATAAACATTTTTCACACAGCTCCAACTCACAATGTTAAAAATGAAGCTCATATTTCTCCCATGCCTGTTCTTACTCCAGTGTGTTCAAACCAGAGTCACCTCTGGCCCCTTCCTTCAGAACCCCCTTCTTATTACCTTTTAGCCACTCACTTGTATTGTTTCAGTGGTTGGTTTCCTGGTGGGGGTTCCTGCCTCCTTTCATCTTTCTAGCAGCAGCCAGCAAATCTGATCCTATCACTTTCCTGCCTAAGTTCCCAAAGCATACAAGGCCTTCTTTCTAGTCAGGCACAAGACTTTTTACTTTCCACCATCCTTCCACACACATGCCATATTTTCAACGGCTTCAAAGATGCCTTGTACTCTAGCCTCAAATCTTCCCACACATAGAGTCTTCCATTATTAGGCTGACTTCTTTCTTCCCTAACTCTAAGGCTATGTGAATGCCTACCAGGCATTTCTGCAGCATACACATGATGTACTAGGTAATTGTGTAAACTTCTGTTCACCCCCTTGAGTGCTTTGTTCCCTTGCTGAGCCTCAGTTTTCTCCTCTGTGAAATGTGGTTAATTCTAGTCCTTCCACAGGTGGTTCTGTGGCTTGAATGTGATAAAGCATGTATGGGCATGAAAATGGCAGTCCACACAAAATATAAGCTATCATCACTATTGTTTGCTTTCTTGCATAAGCTCTGAGATCAGTTTCCATGTGCTTTGTTTAGAGCTACTTCCTAGAGGCACACAGTAGGCATTCAAAACTGTCAGCTAAGGATTAGAGAAAAGATGAAGAGCTGGTTCTTGTGAATGGGCATTCAGAGTATGATTTTCATGATGCTGGGTGTGCCTCCCCCAGATCACTTCAAGGCATCTGAAACATTTCCTAGACACAAATAATTTATTTTGGTATGAGAAGGAAGAGGAAGGAGAGGTTCAGGGAGCCCTTATAGAAACACAGCCCAGGAGTGGCCTATATCTGCTAGCTAAAGGGAATCTAACACCTGGGCCCAACTCCCATTAATGTCAGACCGGGAGTGTGATGGGGAGAGCTAGCATAGAGGGACTTTCCCCTTTCCCTGCCCTTCAGGGATACAGTGAGGCAAAAGTCAAAACAGTGGTGAGTTGCATGGAGGCCAATTCTATTAGAACAGAGGCTGCCTAGGCCCCACCCATGGTCCAGGCAGGAGCTGGAGTTTCCAACTGTATGGCAACTGTTGTTCCATGGCTTGTGGTCATCAGCACTGGGTACCCTTGAGTGAGATACCCCAGTAGGGTGGGAAAGCGGGTAGGGCTTACACCATATACAACATCTTTGCCAGCAGGGTCATACATCAAAAATGAAGAGACAACAAAACAGTGGAGAGTCGGCATAGGAAGGAAATGGTTATAGTCAAGTAAACACAAGAAAAAAAATACCCCCAATATATCTAGAGATTTATTTGTTTGTTTGTTTATTTATTTATTTATTTATTTATGGTGCTGGGGATTGAACCCAGGGCCTTGTGCATGAAGGCAAGCACTCTACCAACTGAACTATATCCTCAGCCCCCAAATTAAATTTAAAGTGAAAGTTAGTGCTTATGCAGTAGAACCATTTGGAGAAAATGACTCATTTTGGAGAGGAGCAGATGTTCTCATTTACATAGTCTCTATAATCTTGAATGGACTTTGTTCCGTCCCCCTATGGCAAGCATGACCAGCAGCTGGTCACATTTGATTCATGACACCAAGGGAGAGTTTCCATTAGTATAATCCTTGACCCCATATCCTTGGGTCTCCCATATCTATTTCATGATGAGGGAGTCTGGGAAAGGCAGCAGCCCTGCCTGCCCTCTGGACAACTCCAGCATGAGCTGTTTCAGAAGAAGTAGATGTGGCTGAGGACTACAAGCATAATCAAGATGATCCCACTGGCATTGACCATCCAGAATGGCTCTTCTGATATTTCACCCCACTCGGAACCTCCTGCCTTTTTCTTGGTATCCTCCATCTTCCTGGTTGCTGTTTTGGGGACTAGAATCTCTGTACCTCCTGACATATCACCATGCTCCATCCTCTCTTTGGTCTCCTCCATCTTCCTGGTGGCTGATTTTGGAGCCAGCATCTCTGTACTTTTTGATATATCACCATGCTCTATCCTTTCCTTGGTCACCTTCAACTTCCTGGTTGCCTCTCCTGGGGCCAGCACCTCTGTACTTTCTGTACCTTCTGCTATGTCACTATGCTCTACCTTCCCCTTAGTTGCCTCCATATTTTCCTTTGTGGGCTTTTCAGGGGCCAACTTGGGGCCCAGATGTGGCTCCAGGCCACAGAACAGGTTCCAGGTCTTCCAGAGGCAAGTGTTGGCTTCTAGAACATAAGGAACGGAAAAAGGTCAGGAGGCATGCAGGGTATGACACAGGAGGTAAGATCTCATAGGGAGTCATGTCTCAACAGCAAGTCCAGTATGCAATCCAACAACTCACTCCTAATAAAGAAGTGTTCAGCCTAAACATGGAATGTCTATAACCATCCTTAGAGATGTGACTGAGGTAGATGGTGGGACAAAGGACTTAGGAAACACTCTGGGGGCAGAGTAGGGCTCCAGAGCTATCAGCTGTACCCAGAACCCTAATTGGGAAGCTAAGTATCATGGGAGCACAGTCCTTCCATGTGCACCCTGCTGTGCCATGGCAATGCCATTCCCTGTTTCTATAGGTCTAGAACAAATGGTAGCTGGTCCTCTGAGCATGTACTCTACCTAGGTCTCTAGTCTTTGGAGGGTGGAGGAAGCCCTGCAAGTCCTGGAAATAAGACACCACTCTCTTTGGCAGCTTCTTGGAAAATGACTTCTCCCAGCAGCTGCCAGTCTCTCTGGCAGTAGGGCTCAGTAGGGCATTTGCAGATGCCTAGGTCCTTGTAGGAACTTTCTCTTGTACAGGAGGGGAGTCTAAGAATCACAGAAAGTTTTTCATTCATTTTCTTAAGGCAAACTAGTGGAAATACATAACTGTGGAGCTTGAATTTTACTCTAGTGTCTGTGCTATGGATGCTGGCTTGCCCCTTGGGACTGGTTTAGGCTCAGGTCAGCACCACGGTCAGCTCCCAGCACACTAGTATGGGCCCAGTGGCTGCCTGGGATTTGTCCGTAGAGCCACTCCTGGGAATGGTTCCCTCCTGGATGACAACACAACCCTATTTTAGTCAGAGTGGGCTCTCAGCATTGGGCACTGTGACATCTTCTGTCTCATCCCATTGGACAGCCTCCAAGTCAGTGTCTCCTGCAGTGGAGGTTGAGAAGGCATCAGGGATGATGGAACCCATCTGACAGGGATGGAAGAGTCTGTTAGAAGGGAAAGGGTGTCTGTAGCTGGAGAACCTTAAAGCCAGTGACACAGGTATATGTTTGGGATGAGAAGTCTGATCACCAGCCACACTCTTGCTTCTGTTCTCAGACACCCAAGTTATAACACTGTCATGAAGCTTCCAGGACCTAAGAGGCAGCTGGAAGAGGCAACTAGAATTGAAAAGGCAACCAATTGTTCAGCCACAGCCCAAAGGCACAACTGTCACCTCAAACAGACAAGGCAGTTTGATGGGCAGCTGTCTGGTCCAGAGGCTGAAAGGCCATACTTTGGAGTGAAACTGCTGGTTTTAAATCCCAGCTCTACCACTGTCTGGCCATCTATGGGGACAGGGACAAGTTATCTGACTGCCAATTGCCTTAAAGTCCTCAGTTTTAAAATAGTAGTGGTATTTATCAAATGTGAGTATAATTTTGGCAGCATCTGGAAGATTGTGGATACCCAGAGGGTCAGCTTAAAGAAGAACTGTCAGCAGACATCAGAAGGAGCATAGAGACCTATGCCCAGGGGAGACCACTGGGGCTTTCCCCAACCAAATGCACATCTTCTTTTGCAGGTATCAGGAGGTATCCCTGATCCTTTCTGGACTCTGGACTTCCCCAAGAGGAGTGCATACAACCTTGCCCCAGCCAGAACCCTGCTTTCTTCCTAGCTAGGCCTTTTTCTTCTCTCCCTTCCTCCCACAAACTCATAGCCTCTTCACCACTCTCTACCCCAGGCTCAGGACTAATCTCATTATGTCCTTTATCCCTGTTTGCGTCAGGGGCTGCAAAAAGCTCAGGTCACCTCAGCACCACCCCCCCATGTCCCTGAATACTCTTTTTCTGACCTATCTGCTGAAAACCTTTCTTTTACTCTCCGAAGGCCCAGGGCTTCAGCCTCTCCCAGAGACACTCTCCCCCTTCTTTCTTGGACTGAAACCTAGTTATTCCCTAGACCTGCTTCTGCGGTGCCCTCTTAGGTAGGGCTGCCCCCCTCCCTCCCTGCTCCTCTATCCATACTATAGAGGGCAGTCTCCTGTCCCCTTCACTGACTACTCCCTTCCTGGCACCACACCATCAGATAGCTCTGTTGGAGGTGCAACAGTGTGTAGCTAAACCCAAAGACCAGTTCTTGGGCATGGTCTTTCTTCACCTATCAGTGTTTGCCTCAGTGATTTACCTCACATTTGAAACACTTGAGGACACCAGGCCCTTCTGATTTTCTTTCCTCTTTCTGGCTCCCCCTTATTGCCTGAGTGCCCCTTTCTTCAATCCCACCACCTCCAGGAGCCGCTCAGCACAATTCCTTTCTTCCCCCTCAGCCCTGCCTGCTAACTATGGATGTTGGATGGCCTCACAAGCAGGGAGGGAGGGGGCAGCCCTACCTAAGATTATTTCTGAGGATGAAGATAGTGAGGCAGAAGGTGCTAGGTCAGCAACACAGGCGAAGCATTATTCTAGACCATGTCACACAGGACCCCTCCAAGGGCTCTTCTTTCTCACCTTCCTGGGGTGGGGGATTGGGGAATCTCTTCCATTGTATATCTGTGTCTAGATCCACCCTCTCCTCTCGGCTGTTGCGCAAACTCCAGCAGAGCCCATGAAGCTGGAGGGTGGAGAAAACAGGGGCATGTCACCACTGGGCCCTGTCATGCAGCCAGAGAGTACCACAGCTGGGACTAGGATCCTGATGGACTGAAAAGAGATCTGGTTGTCAGACTATAACAAAAGATGGAAGGAAGGTGGGATGGGAAATCATAACTACTATGATTTGGGTTTTAGTTCTGGCTAAGGTATCATGTGATTGTGTGATTTTGGCAAAGAGTGGTACAAAGAGTGTGTCCTTCAATGTAAAGCAAGGGGTTGGACACAGTGAGCTCAGGGCTCTTTTCCATTTTGAGGGTCCAAGAATATGCACCCCTCAGGCTGGGAAAAGTTGCCCATTACCCTTGTGGTACCCTCGTTCTGGTGGTTTTGGGGAAGCTGCTGTCATTCCAGAAGCTGCTATACAGAGCATCAGACACAGCAGGAATGCTGCCCAGGAGGGGTTGTACCTGGCCCTGGAGTAGAACTTGATTACTCAAATTCAATAGCATATTTGCAGATGCTAAAGAGGAGCAATCCATTTCCTTTCTGGTCTCTAATTCTTCTCTCTTCCTAAAAACATATGAAAAGTAACAAAACTTTGGGAAGTAACAAAACTCAAGTCAATTGCTGCTTCTTGTGGGGGAAGGTTAGGGTAGCAAAAGCACAGGTGAACATTTTTTCCAAATCCAAGTCTGTTCAAGAATATAATGCATCCAAACCTATTAAATCAGCCTTGGTGCAGTCTAGGTGAATTCCTGCCTTGAATGGTTTTCTGTTAATACACAATGGGCTGCTCATTAGCCTTGCTGGCTGGGCAGCCTCCCCAGCCTGCCCCATTCCAAGACTCAGCCCTGTCTTTCAAATTAAAATGTTGGGACTACAATTTTGTTCTGTTATTGATAGACTCAGCTTAACTTTTAAATAAATTTCTTGATAGTGTTGCTGGGAAGGCAAACTGTATATGGCACTATCAATCTCCTGTGGATGAGGTCACTGGATGTGCTGGCAGGGCCTGGATCCTAGTGATGGAGAGCATCTATGTGCTTCTGAGCATGGATGATTTGGGGGCAGAAGGTCCTACCTCCCCTGGTTGTGGTGAGCAGAGGTGCCATTTGGAAGGCTCAGGCCAATGCCTGGCATGTTGTCACTGATCCAAAAGTGCTACTTTTTCTCTCAGGTTCCTCCCCTCTAGGCAGCTACTTTGTCTTTTCTAGAGAACTGGTGCTTTGCTAGGGAGCTGGGAGACACTCACTCGGCTGAGTAAGTGAGAAGTGGACACAAGGAAGCTGGCAGTAAGAGAAAAGTGGAAAAGAATGCCAACAATCTGAACAATGAAGGCCCTGAGCAGCAGGAAACTTAAAGTCAGCCACCCCCAGGGTTTCAAGACATTAGGAGTAGGGGAGTCTCTCATGCTGTCACTGATTCAAGAGAATATGCAGTGGAGTGTGAGTATCTGGCTCTTCTCTCCATTCATTATCTTCCTTTTCCAACTGGGCTGTGTATGCAAGAGAGGAATGAATCAAGTGGAAAATAATAAGAAGAAAGAGGGACTGGGGATACAGCTCAGTTGGTAGAGTACTGGCCTCGCATGCACAAGGCCCTGGGTTCAATCCCCAGCACCACCAAAAAAAAAAAAAAAGAATACCCTAAGTACATGTATGAAGACACAAATGGTGTGACTCTACTTTGTGTACAACCAGAGATATGAAAAATTATGTTCTATATGTGTAATACGAATTGTAATACATTCTGCTGTCATATATAACAAATTAAAATGAACAAAAAGAAAAAAAAAGAGTGGCCAAAACAGAGCTGGAAATCTCTGAGGTTTGCAGTCTTCCAAGTTTACCTGTCCTTGTAACTCAACTTTTGATAATAGAATACCAGCTTTTGTCCAGATTCTGAGCAAAATTGTAAGAAAGGCACTGGCTTTACATACTTATGCCCTTCTGAGTTTCCTCACTAAACTCCAGATCTCTTGATTGCTGGATGGATGACCAGGACACTTACTCCTTCCACTTTCTGGTGAGGTCAAGTCCCTGTCCTGCTAAGGTGCCCAAGTAAGTGATATGGTGGAACCAGTGTGAGCTTTAGAGTCAGGTTGGAGCCCAGGTCTGCTGCTTACTAGTTTTGTTACTTTCAACAAATTACTTAACTTCTCTGAGCCCAGGTAAATAAACATCTAAAACTGTTAACTAATGCCTGCCTCCTGGGAAGTAGAAAATGGTTTATGAGAAGGCTAAAGCATCTGTGCCTCCCTTTTCCCAGAAGCTTAAATTCCTCTGGGTGGGCAACAGCTGGAACTTCCCTGATTACATTAATTCATATTGAGGTTAGTGAATTTAATACTTCCAAGGAAAATTTGTATTTTATTAGCAAAATTATCAATCTAAATGAATACTTAATTCGCAGATCATTGAAGAGTTTTTAGTTTTTTGTGGGGTAATGCTGGGGACTGAACCCATGGGCTGGCACATGTTGGAAGTGCTAAGAATTCTACCACTGTGCTACATTCCTAGCTACTAGTGTTTTTTTTTTTTAAACAAAGGCAAGCCATTTTTTAAATAGGCAAATTATTTCTATGTCACATTCCTATTTTTGACCCACCATCTCCAACCCTCCCACTTCCAAAGAGGAATCCAGGCACTCTTTACCAATTTGCTGCACCCTGGGACTATGAAGGCGACCCCCCTGAAGCATCTTAATAGCAGCACTTACATGTTTATCTGGAATTGGGTCTGTGATTAAGGAGATCCCCAGAATGCTCAGAAGACTAACTAGGAGGAGGAACATGCTAAAATACAGGTAGTGCATGCCACAGATAAGCATGGGACACTTGATGCTGTTCTCGCAGGTCTGGAGTCCGTAGGCTAACTCGGCCAGCAGTCGAAAGACACCAATCACAATTCCAAAAATCAGCCCCCAGAAGGCACCCTGTCAAAGGAGGAACCCAACAGAATTACTTGGGAAGAAGACATATGATGAGACAAACCACTTTCCTCATTCCCCTTGCTAGTTGGGTTCTAAAACTGGTTATAGTTAGGGGATTGATACCTTACAGAAGATAGTATGAACAAGTGAGAAGATGCCAGATTGGAGACACTGGTACTATCTCTTAGGTTAATTAGAGAACTTAAGAAAAATTGGAAACACTATTAAGTGAGACCATCAATTGGCATCTCAAAGTAAATGTGTCCAAAAAGAACCCCGTGGCACCTCCATTTCCCTCTTTGCTCTGATGCCTTTTCCCAAGCTCTCTGGCTCCTTTCTTTTCATCCTGCTATCCCACCAATCCTTCAGCAAACCCTGTTGGCTCTAACCATACAATGTATCCAGAATCTAATTCCTTGCCATCAACTCCATAGCCACCATGTTAATCCCACTCTGCCATCTTTTCTCACACAGCTGGGTTCCCCACTTTAGACTTCTAATTGCCCACTGGCCTTGCAGAAACCAGAATGGTCTCTTGAAGCTTACATTAGAGAATGCCATGTCTTTATCTAGACCTTCAGTGGCTTATTATCACCTGCCATCATACTCAGATCTCAACCCCACACCACAGTTGACCTTGCCTGGTTCTGCTACTCTCCTTTGGTAATTCCACTCCAGTTGTAATGTCCTTCTTGCATCTTGAACCTACTCACTTTGTTCTTGGCGTGGGCTTTGTACTTGCCCTTCTTTTGACTTGGCTTTCTCTGTAGATCTTGGTACTTCTGCCTCATTCTTCAGGTTTTAGATTCTAGGTCATTTCCTTAGAAGAAGTCTCTTGCCACCTTACCTCATATCCTTGTCTGCCCCATCCCCTAGCTTTCCCTGCTACCTCTGTGATCCTTTTTAATATTTTAAACAGCACTATATCACCATCATTAATCTTTATCTGCTCAATGTGTTTCTTTTGTCTCAGTTAGATACTCCATGAGAATAAGGACTTGATCTTGGCTTTGGAAGTGTATTTGGAGTCTGATTCAGGAGGGGCTGAATGTCAGAGGAAAGAGAGAGATAGGCAAATACTGTGGGAGAAGGAGCTAAACCAAAAAGCCAAGGAGAAGATCCACAGGAACTAATTCCTGAAGGAGATGGGCAGAAGCTAGATGAACCCACCATCCAAAACAGGGTGGAAGAGAGGGCCAGAAAAAGTGCTCTAGGTTAAAGAGGTTACATGCAATTTGGTTGCAACCATGGACTGGGGGTAACCAGAAAGTCCCTTACCAGATCCCTCCATTTTCCTTGGTGATTCCCCCATACCCTGAGGTTGGTGTTATAGAAGAGAGGTAGAGTCCCCTGACTACCTTCCTCTCTTGATATGCCCTTCCCAGGAAATCAAAAGCAACTCTGGCACCCAGACTGCTTCCCCTGCATTCTTGCTGCTAAATTGGGTCCTGGTGAGCTGGGTGGAAAAGGAGCACTGGCAGGGCATCTTCAGGGTTGAACATCTCATTTTTTTAAAGAAGGAAAAAGGGAAGACAAAACAAAATAAAAAGAAAATGGAACAAAACAAACGAACAAGAAGATTGAACACCTGAGATGAGCCTGGGAGAAAGTTTCAGTCAGGTGGAATATCCTGGCAAAGCAAATAGCTTATAACAAATGAAGAGAGACCAAAGATAGCAGGGGACAGTATAGCAATCAGCACTGACTGGTACCTAGGGGCTGGGCATAGGGAGGACAAGTCGTGGGAGATGGGCAGGGACAGATCACAGAGGGCCTTAGGTGCCATGCTCAGTAACGTGAGGATCAATCACTCAGTGCTGTCTAGGGAAACAAAAAAGTTTAACAAATTACTCAAAAATTAAAAAATAAAAAAGAAAAGAGTCAAGGAAGCTATACTTTAAAAGTCTTATTGATGAAATGATAAAACCATTAATTGAGATCTTTATTTGGTCTTAAGTGTGGCTGAAAGAGATGGTCCAAATAGTTACCTCCTCAATGCAGAGAAGGTGGAAGGAGCCTGCTGCTGTATATCCCCCATGTGAGTGTGGGACCACAAGGATGACACATCTGTGTACATTGGTAATGGAAGATTATTTTCTTTTTTATTTTTTTAAAAGAGAGAGTGAGAGAGAGAGGGAGAGAGAGAGAGAATTTTTTAAATATTTAGTTTTTAGATTTCGGCGGACATAACATCTTTGTATGTGGTGCTGAGGATCGAACCTGGGCTGCATGCATGCCAGGCGAGCGCGCTACCGCTTGAGCCACATCCCCAACCTGAAGATTATTTTCTTGCAGCCAAATATGCAGAAGGAAAAAGCATTCAGTTTTGTATCATCACCTCCACAAATGTAAGGTGATTAGTTTTGCATGGCATGGCTGAAAATGGATTACATTAGAAAGGATGGAAAACAAATCATTCTTTCCCTCCATGTATATAAGCAAGCTTGGGACAAATCTGCCCAAGAGGATATCATCTTTCAGAAAGCAATGAAGATCTCTTGAAGTACAAGAGACTCTCCTAGGGCAACCTGTTAAAGACCCCTACAGTGTGAATGCAGCAGCCCCTCACACCATTCCATGCCAACACCTACCTGTTCATTTACTCTTTTGCAAAATATAGCAAGCAGGGATACGGCAGTGACTGGTGGAGTCAGGTAACTCTTAGCAACCTGTATGTATTCAAACAGGTTTTTACTGTGAGCTGTTTCTATAATACGGACCCAGGCAATGGTGACAGCAAGTAAAGCTATAATAAAAAACCTGCAAGTTAAACCAACAATTAGTGATGAGTTTGATGATTTTCCTCTGCTAATAAAATATCTACAACCATGTACTATTAATTCAGTTATTTCCTACTCTTTAATTTTATTATTATTATTTTTTTAAGTGCTAGGGATCAAGCCCAAGGCCTTCCACATGCTAATGAAGTGCTCTATCATTGAGCTACACCCCTGCCTTATTCCTTAGTTTAAATTCAGGTGCCCACTCATAAGTATTGGGGAAGAGGTGCTAGCAATACCCTTAAACACAAACAGGTGTCACAAGGCTATAGATGAAAGCCCTTAAACTTCTGAACAAATAAATCTGAGTATCTATACTAGACTGTCACCACATTTGGAGGCTATATTTAACTAAATGTGGAGGGTCAGTCAGCCTTAAAATACATACTACATGAAAAGTACTAATTTCTTGAGAAGTAATTCATTTTTAAAAAGTTCATACAGATTACTCTGGCTCACAATTGTAAAGATTTCAGCAAGTTGAGAAACTTATTTTATGCAATATAAGTGAGAGTCATCACAAGGTGCAAAGGTGGTTCAATATTAGAAAATCAATCAGTGGAACCACTAAGATATTGAAGGGGAGTAAAAACCCATCTATATCCCAACTGACACAATGAAATATTTAACAAAATGTAACACAATGGAAATATATTTGGGATAATGAGTAAAAGGAACTACCTCAACATGATAAAGAACATTTACAAAAAACCCATAAATAGTATCATACTCAATAATGAAAGACTGAAAGTTTTCCCTTTGAGATCTCTAAAAAAGAACCGAGGCTACAAATCTTCATTACCTTTTCTAAGGAAATGATTTTTAATGTATATCTATAAAATTACACTAAATCAAGTGTCATCCCAAAGATGAATAAATATTAATTACATATCAATAAGGGCTAAACATTATGAGAGAGTGAATATAAGCAAGAAAGGACCAATCCAACAAAAAAGAGGCAAAGAAACAAATTTGGTAATTATGAAATAGTTCACACTGGACTAACCTTCTCATAGGTGACAATGATAAACTCTGGACCACTTATAAAAATGTCTTAAAGACATTGAGAACAACTCAAACTGGACAGAAGTGGGAAGGAGTCCAATCCTTGAAATAAAGGAACTGCATGAAGTGAGATAGTTACACAGCTTTTCTACCAAGGGCTCTCCCTAGTCTTCCAGTGTGGAGTGTCCAGCAGTTAAACACAGAGTCCCATTCTTACTGAGTTGAGTTGATAGAGGTTGAGGATTCAGAGCAGTTGAAAAATGTGGGGAGAAATTCCAGAAATCATGGAGCCACAGATAAAGGGGATCCAAATCTGTACATAAACTTCTCTTGAATCCCTGGCTCACCTTGGAAAATATGCATGCGTAGAAGAATTTCTAAAGAGTCCACAACAGGAAACTGTTGGAAAGGCATAAAAAACTAAAGATTTCAGTTGCTGCTTACATTAAGAGAGACACAAATTAGAGTTGGAATTCCATTAAGTTAGAGGGGCTTTGTAATGACCTTAGGCTTTTCACTGAAATCCCGGAAGGGCCATATTTTAGGAATACAGACTCTATTCCAGGGTTAAGAATTTGCCATAAGACTAAGAGAAAAACTGAAACAGCCTACTCTATCAAAGTATAAAATTACATCTTTATGAGTTTAAGGTGATCAGCTAACAACTTACCTGAATGTTAGGACAAAAATCAATACTTTATGGAGGAATGTGATCCAGAGTTCCTGCAATGTATCATACAAAATGTCTAGTATACATTAAATTTACTAAGCACATTAGGAAAAAAAACATAAGCAATCAGTAGAAATGGATCCCAAGTTGACTCAGATATTAAAATTGGCAAACAAAGATTTCAAAGCAGCTATATTAAAGAATATGAAGAAAATGATGGTTATGAGTGAACAGACAGGAAACCATGGCAGAAAACTGGAAACCATTTAAAAGCTTTGGAAAGGAAGCATATAGAAATTCCAGAACTAAAATTCTGATTCAATATCTGAAATGAAAAATTTGCTGATTAGTCTTAACAATAGATTGGAAATGGCAGAGGAAAGAGCCAATAAATCCAAAGATAGATTGATAGAACTAAACTGAAGAACATAGAGAAAAAAATTAAAATAAAAACAAGTAATGATTTATGGGATAATATCAAAAGGGCTAATATATATGTAAGTAGAGTGACAAAAAAGAGGAGAAAACAAAGCAGAAAAACATGCTAAGAAAAGGTGGTCAAAACTCCCCAAATTCGGTGAATACCATTAATTTATAGATTTCAGCTCAGCAAAACCTGTACAGTATAGACACACATGCCTGTATATGTGTGTGCGTGCGCGCACAGACACAACACACACACACACAAACAAACACACACATTAATACCTCATAATAATACTGTCGAAAAGCCAAAAATGAGGGGAAAACTTTGAAAGTCACAGAGAAAAAAAAATATATATATATATTCATACAGAGAGCAAAAATATGAATTACAGCTGACTTCTCATCAGAAACAAGAGGGCAGAAGAGAATAGAACAGCATCTTTAAAGTGGTGAAAGAAAAATATTGTCAACCTAGACTTATATATTCAGTAAAAATGTCCTTCAAAAACAGGGATGAAAAAAAAATTCTGATAAACAAAAACTGAGAATCTGTCATTCTATTTTGTGCTGGTTTAACACAAAACCACAGACGGGATAATTTATACAGAACAGATTTTTTTTTCTCAGAGTTCTGGAGGTTGGAAGTCTAAGATCAAGATGCTAGCATTTGGTGTCTGGTGAGTGCTGTGTCTTCTGGAGGAAAGGAACAGTATGTCCTCATGTGGCAGAAGGGCAAGAGAGCCTAATGCTGCTCTCATAAGGACCTTAATCCCATTCATGGCAGGGGGAGGGTGTCATGAACTAATCAGCTCTTAAAGTACTGAACTCTTGGGAGCTTGTTTGGAGGTTCTGACAGCGGAGTGCAGCAACTTGTATTTCTTGACCAAAACATAGTCATCCTCTATCAGGGAAGGTCGCCCCCTTCACTGAGCTTACAGCTTTGGGAGGGAGGTACTTGAAGTAGTGAGGCAGGAAGAGGATACCCACCTAGCCAGTCAAATCAGCCAAATCAACCTGGTGGTCAATAGGGTGACAGATGTAGCAGCCAGATAGCCCTCACATCCAGGCCTGAACTGTTAACACCATCACATTAACCATTAAATTTCAACAACTGAGTTTTGAAGGGGATACATTCAAATCATAGTACTAGCTACTTTAAGATTTATTGTAACTGTACAGTAACCAAGACACTTTAATACTGGTATCAAGATAGATAAGTAGATTATGGAATAAATGAATAAAAAAAGATCCATATGTTATGGCCTATTGATGTTAGCCAAAGGTGCTAAAATGTTGGGGAAGATATGAAGCAACTAGAATTGCTACACATTGCTTATGTACTCCTTTGGAAAATAGTTTGGCAGTTATTTATAAAGTGAAACATATGCCTACCCTTAGCCTATTAAGTCTACTCATAGCTATTATCCCAGAGAAATTATACTTAGGTCCACAAAAAATCTTCTGTAAGAATGTTTAGAGCCCCAAACTGAAAACAATCCAGATGCCCATTAACAGTATGGCTAACCAAGTGTAGTACATTTATACAATGGGATACTAAAATTCAGCAAGAAAAATGAACAAACCATCGAAATATAAAAATACCTGGATAAATCTCAAAACACTATGTTAAACAAAGCCAGACACAAAATAGCATGAAACATATGATTATGCTCATATTAACTGATATTCTTAATCCTAATGTTAGTGCAATACATTTTCCCTTTAATGGTCTGTTTCTTTTATATCAGGTGTAAGTAATCTTTACTTACATACTCCAAGGTCCTGATTTCTTATAAAGCTTTATTGTTTTACTTTTCATGTTCAAATATATACAGTTCATCTGCAATGAATTTTTGTGTATAGTATAAGATAAGAACCACTATTCCTTTTTAAAGTTTAGCCCAAACCCTCAGTATCATTTGTTGAAAAATTCCTGTCCCCTACCACTTTCCTCATCTCTTTGCCATAGATCAAGCAACTATGCCTGTGGATCCTTTCTGTACTTTGCATTTTGTCATGTTGGTTTGTCTATACTTGTCCCCAAACCACATTGTTTTGGTTAGTATTGATTCACAATACATACTGGTATCCATTAATGTATATACTCAGTTTTGTTTATCTGCAAGAAATTTCCTTAGCTATTACTTACTCTTTGTATTTTTATGTTAGAGTTGGTATGTCAATTTAAAAAAATTACTGCAATTTTGCCTGTTATTATCCTGAATAGGTAGAATATGTATAGCATATTGTCAATACTAAATCTTCCAATTCATGTATATAGAATATTCCTGTACATATTTAGGTCTCATTAATATTTTCTCAACAATGCCTTGTAATTCTTGAGCAATTTTCTCACATCTTTTGGGATATTTATTTCTAGGTATCTGATATGGTTTTATGGTATTACAGGTGATAATGAGTAAAATGTTAATTCTTGTATTTTGATCTTGTTACCAATCTTCTTAAAATCACTTTTAAATTTTAACAATTCGTCTGTAAAATCTTTTATGATTATTTTATTTATTCCATCTCTATTCTTATGTAATTTATTTGCCTTTTTGGACTGGCGACACCTCCAGTACAATGTGAATTAAAGTAGCTATAATGGACATATGCACCTTGTTCCCACTCTCAGGGGGAAGGATTTCCACATGTAAATATTAAGTATGGTAAGTGCTATATTTAAAAGGTGTTTAAAAGTCAGAATAATTCTTAATTTGCTGAGATTCAAAGAAATAAGTGTTATAGTTTAAAAAGGATTTTTATCTAATGAGATGAGATTTTCTTTCTTCTTTTTTTTCAGTTGATGTGGTCAAGTACCTGGGCTATTTTTTAAAATTTTATTTTTGGTTCATGCATAATAATTGTACATACCTATG